GCCGCGGCCAGAAGCTCTCGCTTCATAGCCTTGAAGCTCCGGCGAGAAACGTGAGCACACGCTCCCCCATCGACGGTGGCAATGGTGGCCCCAGGCTCTTGGAAACCTAGGTCATCATCGCCATCATCGATGTCCTCGGCGGGGGCCTTCTGCTTGGCCTCACTTCGCCGATTGCCGGAAGGAACCGCCGGGGACTTGCCTTCCCGGCGCTCCTGCCTCCTCTCCTCCTCCCACTTCCTTGTCCGCTCAGCCAAGCTTTTGACTGCGCGACAGTCCGCAAGGTCATGGAGGGAGGTGTTGTGGACGGTGCACCACTTGCCGGTTGGGCGCTCCCTGCTGGGAGCGCTGGCCTCCTTCTTTTTGTCGCTCGCAGGCCTCCCCTTTCGGGTGGCCCGCGAAGCACCCTCGACGGTGAGGACATGACCCTCGTCGTCGGAATGGACCGACCTCTTCTTCCTCCTCCTGTCACGCCGCCCCGTCTGAGCAGCGGATCCGGGGGCGGCCGAAGCTGCCACACCGGAACCGGAGGGGTTCCAGGTCCATGCCTCCTCTTTACGAGCCACTCGGTCCGCGAGCTAAAAAAGCTCCGCGGTGGTCTGGGGCTCCTTGGAGGCGATCTTTTCGAGCATGCGGTTGTGCCGCACGCCCCCCCTGAACGCGTAGATCACCGCGTGTGCAGGGATGCAAGGTATGGTGTTGCGGACTTGACAGAACCGCTGAATGTACGAGCGAAGTGACTCATCATCCCTTCGCTGTACTGCGTGTAAGTCCGCTTCTTCACCTGGGCGCGGATATGTGCCCTGAAAGTTCATGGTGAACTGTTGGCACAAATCCTCCCAGGAGTGGACAGATGCGGGTGGCAAGTTCATTAGCCAACCCCGCGCTTGCCCCTTCAGGGCCATGGGAAAGAAATTCGCCATGACCCTGTCATCACCCCCGGCGGCCTCAATCCCGGTCGTGTAGACCTGGAGAAACTCGGCGGGGTTGATGCTGCCATCATATTTTTCGGCGATGGTGGGCCGGAACCTTGGGGGCCAACGGACATTCCGAAGACTCGCCACAAAGGCTCTACAGCCGACACCACCAACCGGGGGCACGGAGGGCTGATTCCCGCGTCCGTGCTGAGATGACACTCTGGACGAGGAAGCGCCCTCCGTTGCGTGGGGAGCACTTCGGTCATTACGCCGGCGCTCGATGCTGGTGCGGGCGTCCGGCCCCCCACGCAGATCTTCCCGGGTCGAAGGAGTCGACGAAGGAGTGGCAGTCGAACGGCGAACAGCGGCTGCCGCTCGTAGTGCCCTCCGTCTTGACGACGCGGAGCCGGTGGTAGCAGCACCAGAGGCCTTGGTGGCGGAGGACCGCCCACCAGCATCTAGGCGCTGCCGCGCCGTCATGACCAATTTGGCCACGTCGTCCAGCCATCGTTGGGCTGGAGACTCCGGGTCAGGGACGACAGGCGGGTGGCGTAAGAGCGTGCCCGCAGCTTGGAGCGCGCCCTGGGGCGTGCTGCCGTCGCCGTAGACGAGGAGGCGACGCTCCCCATCTCGCCGTTCTTTTCCATCGCCCGCGATCGGTGAAGTCGCGGATCTTTCGACCCTCTCGAGCGCCTCCCCCCGCTTAGGACTTTGGCGTGGAGGGGGCGGTGGAGTACGAGCTCGACGGCGTGGGTTCGGCTCCCCGTCGTCGCCACTCACACTCGGAGAGAGGTCGTGCGCCTTTGCTTGCTCGGCCATCAGGCTGAACAGGAAAAGCTTGGTGCACAGGGCAGAGTGCGAGATCTCAGAAGACACACGCTGAGTCCCCTACCTGGCGCGCCAGATGACGGAGCGTGGGGCTCCTCACCGGGAGACCGCGCAGGCCCCCCTTTGCCGGTTCGGCCGGGGGCTCAGGGTGAAATCCCAAGCTCTCTCTGTATGTGGAAAGATCGTGACCCCTCAAAAGAGCATGAGACACAGGCGATGTATACAGGTTCGGGCCGCTGAGAAGCGTAATACCCTACTCCTGTGTTCTGGTGGATCTGTGTATGAAGGAGCTACAAAGTGTGAGCCAACCTCTCCTTTGTTCTGGGTTTTGAATCTGGAGAGAATCCCCCTTCTAAATGGGCAAGGTCCTCCTTTTATATTTCAAGCGGATACCACATGCGCCCCTCCCTTTCCAAACAGGACTTTTCTTCTCTTCATAAACGGACGGAGATTTGCACGGTTGCCCTCCGAACGTCCTTCTGACGGGACGGCGCATACCTACCTCCACTTCTGCCGAAGGCAGGCGCGTCGTGAGAACGTGGCTGTCTGCTTGACGATATGATCAGTGTCAGACCGGTCACAAATCGGTCATTCTTGTCCACCACGCGTCAGCTTAGCAACATGCATGTTTGCCCTTCTTCACACAACATCTTGCTTGTAATGGTTAGGATGAAGCCTGGCATATATCCGTCCAGGGCTAACGTGCCATCTCTGGGGGGTAACACGCTAGCTCCAGCTGGGGACGAGTGCCTAGAAGCTCTCGTCTTGACGGGATGGGGCGAAGCGTGCGTCAGACCGCCTGTCGCCACCTAACCCGCGATCTGACCGGTCTGTGACTGGTCACAGACCGGGTAAACGAGTGCACTGCACTGCATTTCGTGCGGCGTGACACGTTTAGCCGAGCCGCAATAAATGCGGTTAGGTGAGCCCCGCTGTGCTCACCTAACCCATACACGCGGAGTAGAAACCGCGAGGGGTCGGGGCGCCTCGGCCCTCGGGGGCGAGGCAGGAGTGGCCCGACCCCCCTCGGGGAGACCAAGAGGTGGGCGCACACATCACCCTCGGGCCCGACGTCCCCCGAGGGTGCCAGGCCACGTGGGCGATTGTGTCTGCCTCAAGCCTCTAGTCATGATACTCCCGGTCCCACGTCACCGACAGAGACCGACGAGGCCGGGCAACATATTAGCTAAAAACGACCGATGAGGCTAGACGAATCCATGGCCGAGAGCCGACAAGGCCATGTCAGTGTACTAATAACACGTCTAAAATAGACGGGAACCAGATACACCATTGTTAGGCACTGACGAGGCAGAAGCAACCACAAAATCCATATTTGATGAAGGCCGGGGTACATGACTGGGCACCGATGAGGCAAAGGTCACCCGCTTCACCAAAATCTCTACACACACCGACGCGATGGTAGTGTATTTTGACTGTGTTTTGGCAAAACAAAGCCACCCATTCCACATTCACTATATTCACTGTTAAATCGGCACCAACCTCAACTTTCGGCGAGCAAACCATTTTGAAGACGACGATCCTAAAGCGCAGCTTAATCGGAGGTGTTCCACAGGCTCGCTCCTGTGGATGTAATTAACCGGCCGCCTCATTGCTAGGCGTCGGGAATCAGCGGACTACACGCAATCTCCCGTCAAGATACCTCTCCATTAAGCATTTCTCGCGAAGGCAAAAGGCGAACTCCTGCGGGAGCCCTCATGTATTTGTAAACATTCATGTTAATGAATCATAATTAATAAAATACATGGTTTCCCTATTTTCTTTGTGTTCGTTGTGATGTTTTCATCAAACAAGTCGCTCAAGCGCTTTCATCACCGGATCTCCAGTTGTTTCTCCGCCCCCGCTTATCCAACGCAGCCTCGCGAGAGCTCCAGGAGCTCTGCTCTCTTACCAACTCGATAATCGCCACGGACCAACAGGACTGCCGGCTATCCAACTCCCGTTGGCCTCTCACCACTCACGTAGCTTACTCCCAATGCTTTGAGGATACTGCTACTAGCCCTTTTTGGGAGAACATTTGGAAGAACTTCGGTCAGAGGAAATACAAACTCTTTCCGTGGACTGTACATAAAAGGCGAATCTACACTAATGAGCGCTGCTTCTGCAGAGGTATTGCTTCCTCTCCTCAATGCAGCTTTTGTGGCTGCGACGAGGATGTGGAGCACCTTTTCCTTCGTTGTACAAGGGCTGCTCGGACCTGGGCTTCCATGGGCTTTGACGAACACGAAATCGGCACCCTCTCATCTTTCGAAGACCTTTGGAGCATTACAATCCTCGACTCTACAACACATCCCCGCTCCATCTAGTGCACAATAATCCTAGCCATTATCTAGAACATTTGGAAAAATCGCAATAACAAAGTCTTCAACGGAGTGGATGCATCTACGGAGTGGACGAATGGCGTAGATGCATTGACTACTTAACACTATGGGTACACCGCTGCCCGGAGCGACTCCGCCCCTCCTTCAACTCCTGGGTGATCAATCTTAGTGACTTAGGAAATTCTTAGTTCTTCCCTCTCTCCCCCCTTGTAAATTTCTCGACTTGTAATTGTGCATATTTATTCATCAATAAAAGTTCAGGCCGGTGCCATCCGCCTGCCGCGTCCGCCCGTAGTTTCCTTAAAAAAAATAGTGGTCATTCTAACTGAAGAGGTCAATAACAATAATCAAAATTAATCTCTTGCGTTGCTATTACTATATGAGAACGTGTATCTCAACCTTCACGAATGTTGCTACTTCTGTTCATAGATTTCATCCTATAGAAATAGTTGTTTGCAGAAAAAAGAATTTACCATTTCCAATGGCCAATATTACATTTATCTCTTGCGCCTTCACGTGTAGCTCTTCATATCTACCTACAAAATTTCGCAGCAACGCGCGAGATATCATCTAGTATATGAAGGGAACGCTATTTGTTCGTTGGTCACGATTGACCTACGGCTTAGCAAAACCAAAACCTTAGACTATCGATTCTAATGTGCAGTGAAGGGGAAGAGCGAACTCCATCTCACGATTCCCATCGCCACTGCCACACCACGGTGTTCCTGTCGCCGCCTTATGGTGATGTTCATCACAGGCGTCCTACGATCGCAACACCCGCTACGACTAACTGCTACACAGGTGTTGGACGCAGGGGAGTTGCCTGTCAGGTCGCTCCATCAAGCTTACAAGCCGGGGGCAACTAATTAATACATCATTAATGTATCTTAATTACTGTTTCATATAAAGTACAATTATATTTTATCTATATCAGTTGAAGCAGAGCTTGTAAATCAAAGATAGATGTACTTTGAAATAAGTTTAATATATCTGGCTACGTACAAAGCAACGCAGCAAATTTAGGTAGTCTATTCGTTTATAAGTTTCTTGAAAAAGGCAATTACATGATAAACTGATCAACATGAGAATGTGCAGTCAGCACTAAGCAGCTCTCGTGAGAATGGAAGTCTTGGTGATACACCAGGCTTATTGAATTTTGTTGTCTCAGCTTGTTTGACAAGCATGATGCTCACCGACCAGCTAGCTGGCTAGAAGAGCTGCCTGCAACCAGCGGTGCCTCCTCAGAGTCATATCTCTTCTCGACCGGCGAACTTGACGATGCGTCTGTTGAAGATAAATTAGAGTTGACGATTAAGTTAAGGTCAGGCAACTGCGCATCACGCTCCAGGACATCCATTGCTTGGAGCATGGTAGGCCGGTGTTTAGTCTCGAAGACAGAGCACCAGAGCCCTAAGATGATGGCACGCTCCATCTCCCTCCTTTCAGCGCCATCAACACCAATGGCTAGCCTTGAGTCTGCAGCCTCGACGACATCACCGCCGCTTTTGTATAGGCCCCAGATCTGCTCCCTGTGTTTCCTCGCGCAGACGATCTCAAGAAGGGCAATGCCGAAGCTGTACACGTCGGAGTTACGGTTGAAGCTGACCTCACCATCCTTCATGCACTGTGGATCAATGTATCCTTGTGAGCCTATGGCAGTTGTCTTCAGCGTTGCATTGTTCGGGTTCGCGACCCTTGACAGACCAAAATCAGCGAGCTTGGCGTTGAAATCGTCGTCCAAGAGTACGTTGCCTGGTTTGATATCTCTGTGTATGATATATGGGTAGCACTCGTGATGTAGGTACAACAGGCCTGACCCAATGTCCTTGGCTATTTTATACCTGTTAGAACATTAATTGTAGTTAATTAGCTACATGGATTGATCATTAACATGCTTAATTAATTATACATGTACTAATTGAACACATAACAGAAGTTCACACATAAACAAAGAAAATCGATCACATTATGTCTAATGATTATATATATATAATCCTAATTTATAAGTCGCTCTGCGCTCTCCTCAGCGTCAGTGGTTCTGGAGTCCATCCACTCGGAGGGCCATCTATGGTCTCTAGCTAGCGTTGCCGCTTTTGGGGACTTGTTAGGAGTTTGTGTCTAAGCTTCAGCTTTTTTTATTTTTTTTCCTTTCCCCTAGCATAAGCTGGTTTGGCTGATTGCGTCGTGTAACTATAACTCTTTTCTTCTAATATATTGACGTGCAATTCTTTTACGCGTTCGAAAAAAATTATAAGTCGCTAAATCTTGAAAAACTATAATTGAGAACGGTCCAAATTATCCAAACCGATTACAACTCAGTATTTTTTTTCACCTAGAATTTTGAAACTATTAAAACAATATTCCCCCGTACCAACTTCGACTACACGTTCATTAATTATGATTTTCAAAATTAATAAATCGTGAGGCATAATAAACTAAGTCTCCCATGCAAATACAACTAAATACCACTTAGTTTCAAATGTCGTATGTGTGTGTGTGTGTCTATATATATATATATATAATAAAAATTGAAGATGTTTCCGCGGTTTGTCGTCCGTGTTTGAGTCGGTTTTAATTGTATGTTTTAGTTTTAATCTATATATTTTCTCTGCTATTATAAAAATTAAACATGTTTTTGCAGGTATTTTGGTACGTCATTCATGTATGAGTCGGTTTTTAAGTTTGTTTGCTTTTGAAAATACATATCCGTATTTGAGTCGGTTTTTAAGATCGTTAACTTTTGGTAATACAGATGAAATCATATAAGAAATCTGTTTAAAAAAACTCGTATGCTAACTTGAGACGATCGGACTTCTAACTGCAGCTCATGATTTTCTAATATATATATATATATTCAAGCGAACTCTCATAGTGAATTTCATCATAACTAAACCATATAACAATAATAATATTAAAATAGACTTCACCCGTTACGAAGCATGGATATTTTTTCTAGTTTAGAATAAAATGTAACAACATTAGATTGAAAAATGGAAGTAGCAGAATTTTACAGTTATTTACAAAATGTAATAATTTTATCCTAAGTACAGCGAAATGGAATCATATAACTTTGAGAGAAAAAATGACTAGTCTATTGTTAAGAGAAATCGATATCGAGGCCTAGAAATTGGAGAAAAAGATAATGATTTGTGTTGTTATATTATGATGGGTCTAGACAATATCAATCACTATTGGAGAAGTGGTCTTTGCTAGATTGCCAAAAAAAATCATATTAGCCCCAGTTAAAAAGCACACTAGAACACCAGTCGGGACTAAAGATCCTTTTTAGTCCCATTTAAAAATCATGTCAGACCCCCATTATTTTTAGTCCTGGTTGGTGTTACCAACCGGGACTAAAGATGGATCTTTAGTCCCAATTAGTAACACCAACTGTGACCAAAATATATAAAAAATCGTGCAGCAGCCCCGAGCCGGCCAGCCTTGTCCTTATCTCCTTCGGAGACCTCTCATTTTCTAACCATCTCCTCCTCCCCCTTCCTCCCCTTCCCCTGTCCTCTCCCTCCCCTCCCCACTCCTCCGACAATGGCGACAACGGGCGGCGGCCTCCCCTTCACCAGATCTGGAGGGAGGGGAGGCCGGGCGACGACCGTGGCAGCGGCGCATGAGGCAGCAGCGGCGGCAATGCCGCGGCAGGCGGGTACCACCGGTGGTGCAGTTGTGTTGATTTTTTTTTTTACATTTTGTGAATGATTTGTAGATTTTTTTTTACATTGGGATGATCTGTGAATGATTTTGGATTATGGATGATTATGTGGATGGACATGTGAATTTTGGATGATTTTATTGTGCATTTTTTTATGATTTGTTGGGATTTGGTTGAAATCAATAGGTGCAAACAGTAAACATCAATGGAAAAAAGAAAAAAAAAACTTTAGCCGGGACTATCATCTTAGTCCCGGTTATTCCACCCACATCTTTAGTCTTGGATTCGTGGTACCGGTTGCATAACCGGGACTATAGGGGGTTACCAACCGTGGGTGAAGACTCTTTCTCCAACAGTTAATGTATACAAATCGAATAAATCGATGTTGGTATATGAAAATAGAAATTGTATTAATTTATAGAAATGGAAGATTTTAGTGTGTTGAAAATATAATGCTATTTATGAAAACAAAGGTAAGTATCGTATGTTAATTAAAAAAATATGTCTTTCAAATCTACTCCCTCCATCCCTAAATGACTTGTGATCAGATTGTCAAAGACAAGTTTAGCATTTCTGTTACTTTGGTAGTTAAAACAAGAAGAAAATGAAAACGATGTACCGGTATCTAAGAGGTCAAGTGGACCTCAATCTAAAAAGACACTAATTGTGGGATAGATTTTTAGGCTAATATTATATTTTTTTACGGATTAAGGAAGTAGCTGGAAACTTGTATAGAGAAACCTGCTAATATAATTAATTAACGGAGTAGCTATATTTATTACATACACTTACATTTGTAATTACACTGTAAATTTCAAAATTTAAACTATAATTACATTATAAGTTTCAATATTTGCATTGTATTTTATGATACACAATGTATTAGAGAGTTAGTATTAAAGTAGTTTATTATTTAAATAAAAGAGTAGATAGGACAGATAGAATCATACTTAAATATAGAGAAGGGAGAGCAATCATGTATAGAAAAAGTGCCTGAAATAAGTGAAAAGTGTGGCGATATAATTTTAACCATCCCGTATAAATAATAGCAACACAGTATTTATGCAGATATATATACTCTCTCTATCCTAAAATGTTTCACGCCGTTAACTTTTTTAAAAATGTTTGACCGTCCGTCTTATTTAAAAAATTTAAGTAATTATTAATTATTTTTCTATCATATGATTTATTGTCAAATATACTTTTATGTATACATATAGTTTTACATATTTCACAAAGTTTTTTTGAATAAGACGAACAGTCAAACATATTTAAAAAGTCAACGGTGTCAAATATTTAGGGAAGGAGGGAGTATATATATGGGTACCTTGTTTGCCATGAAAGTACTGCTGCTGACTCGCTCTTGTACAAGTAGTCGTTGAGGTTGCCATTTTTCATCAATTCATATACAAGGAAGAGCTCCTTATTATTGTTGCTCCATAAACAGCTGCACATGAAACGGAGAATGTTCCAGCTGTGTCCCCGGCAGCACCAACCAAAAAACTTGACGAGATTCTTGTGCTTAGCTTCGCTGATAGTGCTGACTTCGGCGAAGAAGTCTTTATGCTCTTGGCTGGACTCCCTCACTATTTTCTTCACAGCAACTTCACGCTCCAACCGCTTCAGGAATCCGCTGTACACTACCCCAAAGGCCCCCTCTCCGAGCTTGCGATCATCAGAGAAATTGCCAGTCGCGATGGCCAAATCGTCGTATTCGAATCGCCTGGCGCCGCCTGTGCCCTTTCCAAAGGTATTACGTACCCTCTTCTGCATCAAACAAGAGATCAAGAACCACAGCACTAACGCCAATGCAACAGCTCCTCCGATGATCGGTCCTCCAAAAAGCAGTGCCTTATTGCGTCTGTCTGCACATATAAATTATTAGAATTATTTTTGAACGAGCAGTAGTATATACTTCAGTCAAGCGAAACAGCCACAGGGGAAACCCTCGCCGGATTGATATAGATTGAATTGCAGAAATTCGGGCCCGACAAAATACTTTGCGTGCTGACGTTGTACTGACATCAAGGTATGGCAGTACTACCATGTTGACGTCATCGCGACATAAGCAACATAAACTCTTAGGGCGATCACAATGCATACACGTGGCGTGTGGCGTGTGGCAAAGTCTATCCACGTAAGCACAATGTGTGCGTGGAGGAGAGAAGGAGGTGGGGCCCATGTTTTCACCAGGTTTGTGTGGCTTGTTTTGGCTCCGAGAACCTGAGCAAATTTTGTTAGAGAAACACACATGCCACAGAGCAGGAGAGAGAGAGAGTGAAGAAGCTCGCCAGAGAAGTCACTTCCGCGCCGAAGAAGCTCGCTAGAGAGGGAGAGGAGTAGGGGCGCTGAATCCGAGCCAGATCCGCGCCGAGCTTGCCATCCTATCTGGCGGCGACGAGAGGAGCTAGCCCGCGGAGGTGGTGAAGCGACGGCGCCCTCGCCAGCCGACGCCGAGCTCCTCCGCCGCCCGCTTCCGAGTGCCGACCTCGCTGTTGTTTCGGGGAGAGGGTGGAAGAGGGAGAGGAGTGTGGTGCACCGGCAAGCTCCAAGCCCTGCCACCCCTCCCATCGGCGGTGGAGGAGCTCGGCCCGGCTCGGCACTATGTGGTGGGGAAAAGTAGTGAGGGAGGGGGAATAAAGAAAAGCTGGTAAAGTGATAAAGTTGGTACTTGTGGGACTCACTAATAAGCCACTTGCACTATGGTACATGTAACTAAACATTATTTCTGGTCTAGCTGGTGTGTGAGGCACAGCAAATGCATGTGGCGCACTATGAACGCCCTTACAGTGATGCACTCGCGTGGTGCCAACGCTCATGTCACCCGCTCTCGCATACTCGCTGTCCTCTCCACTGCCAACTGCTTTTCCCCTCTCCTCTTTTCGTCACTTGCCTCGTTTCCCCCTCTGCCCCCCGGCTCCCTGCCCACCCAGTTGAGGAAGGGCCTGGTGCCGCTGCTTATACTCCCTGCTATCTCACAATTGATGGTTCGCTCTCGGTGTCACGTCGCCACCACGAAGCTCTTGATTCCAAACGAGCACTCAGGTGATGCGGGCCCGCTCACCCACCAGATCCCCTGGGGGGGTAGAGCCATGGGGTGTTTTGACCCCGGATATCTCACCTCAGGACACGGGCGGATGGAGAAGTTTGGGGGGGGGGTCGGGGTTAGGGGCGCTCCAGCCCAACTCGCCCCAAACCTGACCCGTTGCCAACCCTAATAAGGCCTTATATATTTGCACAACTCTTGCTCAACTAGTAAGGTGATACCAATAAAGTGCACACAACACTTATATGCCACATAGGCTACCTGCTAATTAGGTCTGGATGTGACGGGTCTCTACGCCGGGCCCACATGTAGTCTCCTAGTCCTCCTGCCCCATACCCCACGGCGTGCAGTCCGTGTGAAACTGGGACTCCGATATGGTGTATCCCACTATCCCAGTGAGTTAATGCTATGAAACATCCTAAGGTCGAGTTTAATTCCAAACTTTTTCTTCAAACTTTCAATTTTTCCGTTACATCTTTCCAATTTCAATCAAATTTCTAATTTTGACGTAAACTAAACACACCCTAAGAGAATGTGGAGTTAATACGAGGCTCTGCGGCTGACGTACCACATCTTGGGGTGCCGTGGTATCCAACCAGATATTCGTCCACCCTTCTCTGACCTGCGAGGACGCCACATAATCCTTACTGGGTCAGCAAGGGGTTCTCACAAGATGATGCTTGGGTGTGGGATCCGACACCTTTCCGAGCTTAACCATACGGCGTGCTCTGGGAAGAGGTGAACTACCTACTCTGCTTCTGTTTTGGTTAAGTTGCACCTAGCAGTTCCTGGGCAGCCTAGATCATGGGCCCCAAATCCATAATGGCGCCATGACCTAGCTCCCGGGTGGCCAGACCAACCAGTCCCATGCATCGGAATAAGTTCATGAGAGGTCCCATGACTCGTTAACGAATCTGATTTTCGTCCTTGAACCAGATACAACAGGTCCCCCAACTGTCAAAACCAGTGCAGATGAGGTCCCTCGGTGGCTTGGATAAGGGTTTTGGTTGATGTGGTGCTTACGTGGCAATTCGAACCGGAAAAATAATAAATCACGTGAGACCCACACGTCAGTGTCACACCCAAACTAATAAAAAAATGGTGGGGCCCACGTGGGCCCCACATGTCATTCCCACTCCTTTTCTTCTTCCTCCTCCTCTCTCTCCCCATCTCCCCTCCCCTCTCAACAAACAAGGCGGAGAGTCAGCGGTCGGGGAATCACCACCACCACCACCATGCGACGGCGAGAAGGCGGCGGCAGCGGCACTGGTATTCCCGTGCGGCGGTGTTGGCGGCGATCCCGATGAGTGGCCGAACCCTGGTGTGCGGTACGACCCGCCGCTGTCGTCCTCGTCGTCCCCACCACCACCATCTCCTCCCCGGCGTCGTCCTACGACCGCCCGGCAGCGCACGACGCATCGCCATACCAAGCGCTCTGCGGTGGGCCCTATTCCGTGGCCACCACGTGAACCCCCGCCGCCGCCGCGGCGTACCACGCGCAGGTGAGCCCGTTCCACCTCCACCTCGACACCTGTCACCCTCACCTGCCGCCGTCCTACTACTCCATGGACCACAAGGAGTACGCGTACAGGCACGCCACCAAGGAGGTGTACGGCGAGCACGCCTTCTTCTCTGATGGCACCGAGAGGGAGCACCACCACGCCGCCGCCTGGACACGGCCAGTGGCAGTTCAAGCAGCTCGGCATGGAGCCCAAGCAGAGCACCACGCCGCTCTTCCCGGGCGCCGGTTATGGCAACACCGCTGCGTCGCCGTACGCCACTGATCTTTCCAAAGAAGATGACGATGAGAAAGAGAGGCGGCAGCAGCAGCACAGCTTCCTCCTGGGCGCCGGCCTCCGGCTAGAGAAGCCGGCGGGCTACAACCATGCGGCGGCGGCGCAGAAACCTCTCCGCCACATCTTTGACGAGTGGCCGCATGAGAAGAGCAGCAAGGGCTCCTGGATGGGGCTCGAACGTGAGACACAGCTGTTCATGTCCATCACCATGGCCGCCAACGACCTCCCGATCACCACCACCTTCGCTACTACAATGGTACGTACTAACCTTCGTCTCCACTTATCAAAACCGTTTCTTGATTCTTATGGCAAGCCATGCTGATGATCCAATTTGCTTCTTGTTTGGTCTTGTGCAATCTACAGACGACAGCGGCGGGTCGTACCGTACACCGGGGTCTGGTTCCTCGTCGGGATCGCCGCCAGCGCCGCCGCCTTCTCGACATCGCGCGGTGGTGGTGGTGCTGATTCCCCCCAACCCCCCCCCCTCCCCCGTGGCTGCTGACTCTCCATCGTACCTGAAGAGAGGAGAGGGGAGATGGGGAGGAGGAGGAGGAGGAAGAGTGGGAATGACATATGGGCCCCACCAAATTTTTATTAACTTGGGTGTGACACTAACATGTGGGTCCCATGTGGTTTTTTATTTTTCCAGTGTGAATTGCCACGTAAGTGCCACGCCAGATGAAGACCGAGTCAAATTAGCCACGTAAGCGCCACGTCAGCCAAAACCGCCATCCAAATCACCGAGGGGCCTCATCTGTACTGGTTTTAATAGTTGAGGGACCCGTTGTATCTGGTTTTCAGGTTGAAGGACGAAAATCTGATTCGTTGACAAGTTAAGGGACCTCAGATGAACTTATTCTCCATGCGTCAGCGCAGAGGAAAGGTTGCCTCCAAGTAGCTTTGGTGGCATGACCTCGACTAGGGTCGGTTGACTCGACCAAAGTGTTAACTTTTGGGCTTTCTGAAAATGTATTTCTGGATGGAGGATGGACATCCCTGTGTCTTGAATCTGGCATAGGCCAGGGAGGTGCTGGTCTGCTGGCCCACAACTAGAGGGATGCAAGCGGGGTGGGCAAGCGGTCCTTTTTTTATCCGCTTATTCCACTTCTAATTCGTTTTTCATCCAAATTTTGTACTATCGTGTAGGAAATAAACTAGCAAGTGGGTTTTTATGTATGTAGCAGGACTATCCAATTGCATCTCTATAAGTAGTCTTTGACGACATGGCTTTCAAACTATGGAATCTGGCTAAACGAGGACCCACTTGGTCTAGACATTAACATTTCTGTTTTTCTTTTCAAAAAACCTCATATTTACATAAAAACTACTCCCACCGTCCCATAATATAAGGGATTTTGAGTTTTTGCTTTTAATGTTTGACCACTCATCTTATTCAAAAATTTTTGAAATTATTATTTATTTTATTTGTGACTTACTTTATTATCTACAGTACTTTAAGCACAACTTTTCGTTTTTTATATTTGCAAAAAAAAATTGAATAAGACAAGTGGTCAAATGTTGTAAGCAAAAACTCAAAATCTCTTATATTGTGGGACGGAGGGAGTGGTAGACAATAAAAAGATGGTATTTAAAATAAGGAAACAATAAAATAGTACAAGATAAGAAAAACATCAGCACGGGAAAAAACTGAATCATATACATATACACACATTGCATACTATTTTACATATTATTGGTAGATTATTTTGTCTAAAAAGTATATGGTATTTTTTATTTAAAGAAAGTATTGATATGTAATTCAGAATCCTGGTTGGGATGTTGGCCATATCACGTACGTTGCTTTTCAATGGCTTGGCAGGAATACTAAAACAATTAGGAGTCCGATTCTCGTCACAAGTTAGCATGCAGTATTTTAAAAATGATTTCAAAAGTAAACAATCTGTAAAACTAACTCAAATACGAATGACGTATGAAATACGAATGACGTATGAAAGTATAGACAAAAATATCATAATTTTTTATAACAGTAGGGATATGGTCAGGTACCTTGGTTTACTAGCGTAAGAGTTGAGTTGAATGACCATAACATTATCTGGTTGAGCTCCTTGAGGTCCGCGGTGGCTCCAGTAAAACCCACGGCCACCTGCGGCAGGAGCAACGACGTGATCGGATCTGGCAGTCGTAAACTCACCTGATAATCAGGCGCTGCAGACCATGGACGGCCAGCGAGCCACAGTGAGGCGACCAGCATCTGCGTTATGCCGTTGAATTCGATGTGGGCTGTCATTGTCCCGTTCAGACTGAAGTTGGGCAAGAGTGTGGTGTTCAAGGAACTGACGACGGAGTTGATGTCAATGCCAATGTGGTTGATGCTCTTGGGGTCGAAAGTGTTGTTGTATGTGTCGAACTCGACGGCGATGAATCGGTCCGAACCGAAGGCGGTGGTCGTCCCGTTATTGATGAGTCCAAGGTTGCCGCCGAACGAGTTGGCCGGCAGCTTAGATGGGTAACTGGCCAGGAAGAAAGCCAGACCATCCCCTCTGATACCGTCGTCGATGGGTCTGATTGTGAAGGTGAACCTCGTGGAGAAGCTGGCCACCACCACCTTTTCGCCGCCGGTGGTGTCGTCGTAGAGCTGCACCGGGTGAGCGTACGACATCCGGCCGGCGGGGCAATAGGGATAACAACTGCGGCCGGAGGTGAGGTCGACCAGCCCGTCTTTCGGCTTGGCCGCGTCGCCTTCGAACAGGAGGTCATCTAGGCTGTAGGTGGATGGATCAGAGAAGTTGAAGCTGAAGGACACAGGTGGCTTTGCTGCTGCTGCTGCTTCAGCAATGAGGTGTGAAACATCAAGCGAAATGGAGAGGAGTAGGAGGAGTAGGAGGAGAAGCTGCAACATTGTCACAACAAACATGATGTGTGAACTAATTAAGCAGGCTGCCGAGGTTCGCATATATGACGATCATGAATAGTACGGAGCTTATATATACGAAATAGCAGCAATTAGTTATGGTAGATATACCAACTTGACTAAGTCGGGTCAAAAAAAGGCCACAAACACTCATGTCCACAAATATAATTCTAACTGTAAGAAATATCACGGTATAAGGATTCTAGAGCGATGACCTACCTTCAGATCAGCCTTTCCACGGCATCACTCCAGAATCATTATCCAAACCATTGGCCAAAATTATGCTAGCTGTTACCTTTGGATAGGCTAATAACTTCCGAACAGAGCAGATTACCTTTGATGTCGCTGAGTTTGACACTGCGTATAATGTCATCTTAGGGAGAACTGCACTCGCGAAGTTCGTGGCGGAATCCAATTGCTTAAGGATGTGTTTGGATGGACGAATAGGCTCAGATAGGATATGGCCGCCCAAATTTTGGATGTGTTTGGATGGAGGGCAGTACTAGGATATGGCCACCATATAGGGAATATTCCCTCCAGATGTCGGCTCTGTGCGATTCGGCCGGATGGGGCGGCCCAGCGACCGCGCACCTCGCGCACGTCAACAAGACCGCATGTAGCACCTTCTCCCATCCTTTTCTCTCTTTTTTTCCTCTCTTCTCACCGCTTCACCTATGCCGACCAAAACCCTAGCTCTCCTCCCTCCTCTGTAAAAATATCAACCGGCGGCGCGGGCGGCTGCTGTCGGAGGCGCGAGCGGCGTGGACGAGGATTTCCGGCGGCGCGGCGGCGAGTCCAGGCGGCGCGGCGACGACTCCAGGCGGGAGGCGCGGCGGCGACCACAGGCGGTGCGGCGGCGACTCTAGGCAGCAAGCCGATGACGACTCCAGAGAAAAAAATCATATTCACTTTTCCATTCCTTTTCAAATCAAGATATAGTACAAATCCAAGCATATTTCTTGTTTTTTGGGGATTGATTTGTTCAGATCTGAGTGCTATAGTTGTTTCTAAGCATGGGCATGAATGTTTATAGAGTGCTATGGTTGCTATTTTGTGATATTTTGTTCAGATCTGAGTGATATATGTTGTATGACTCAATATATGCGTGCATGAATGTGGTAGACCTGATTTGGTCAAACTTTGACATTGTAGATGGACAGCAGAACACGGTTTCTGATTTATGCGGCTGCATCATATATGTTGTTGGGAATGATGGCTATGGTTATCGAGTCTAGAAATAAGAAAAGGAAAAGGGTTCCAAGGAGAGAAGGGATTACCTATGGGCCAATAGATGAAAGGGATAGGAAAAGATTTGATTATCTTAATGACATGATTTGGAAAAACGGTACCATCTGTGTGAACATGCTTAGGCTTTGAAGAGCACCTTTTTTCCGTTTTTTAAACTTTTTAGGGATCGTGGCTTGCTTGTGGATACTATACATATGCCTGTTGAAGAGCAAGTGGCTATGTTTTTACATACATTTGGGCACAATGTTAGAAATAGGGTAGTTGCCACTAATTTTTATAGGTCCGGTGAAACTATTAGCCGATATTTCAACCTAGTCCTTCATGCTGTTGGTGAGCTGAGAAAGGAATTAATAAGGCCACCCTCAATAACGACTCCATCAAAAATATTAGGGAACCCAATGTGGGATCCTTATTTTAAGGTATGATCCACAACTAGTTGTACACCATTATTTGTAGACGAAAAATTATGCCCTTTTAAAATAGGATTGTATTGGAGCTATTGATGGCACACATGTACGAGTCTCTGTTACCAAAGATATGGAGCTTTCTTTTCGTGGTAGGAAGGATCATGCTACTCAAAATGTAATGGCAGCTATAGATTTTGACCTTAAGTTCACATATGTGTTGGCTGGTTGGGAGACGACAGCACATGATGCTGTAGTTTTACGTGATTCTATAGAGCGTACAGATGGCCTTCGTGTCCCACAAGGTAATGTAAGTCCAACTTGTGCATAGAAAAATTATTCACAAAAACACATTTCACCAACTTGTCCTTATATGTTAGGAAAATTCTACCTAGTTGATGTGGGATATGGAGCAAAACCTGGATTTTTACCCCCTTTTCGTGGTGTGAGGTATCACTTGAATGAGTGGGGGTCTAATCCTGTACAAAATGAGAAGGAGCTATTCAATTTGAGGCACTCATCTCTTCGGGTCACCGTTGCGCGTGCATTTAGGTCTCTCAAGAGGAGGTGGAAAATTTTAGATGATGCTAGTCCATTTTTTCCCTATCCAACTCAAGTGGATATTGTGGTAGCTTGTTGTATTATTCAGAATTGGATTATAGAAGATGGTGGTGATGATTTTATCATATCAGAGGAAGAATGAATAGCCAACTACAATTATGCAACATCAAGAAGTGGGCAAGCTAGTGAGCATGCATACATGGTTCAGTTTAGGCAGGATACCGCAGACCAAATGTGGGAAGATCGTCAAACTCACCATGGAAATTGAAAATTTTAGATTTGTAGTCTATGTATTTGTATGGAACTCTAAGACTTATGTACTCCTTTTTAAGAATTATGTATTTGCTGACATGTATTTGCTTGTTGAAATTTATTGTTTGCTGAAATTTGTATGCTTGTTGATATTTATAGTGGTTGCTGAAATTTATATGTAAGCTGAAATTTATATGTTTGCTGAAATTTGTAGTGGTTGCTGAAATTTATATGCTTGCTGAAATTTATAGTGGTTGCTGAAATTTATATGCTTGCTGAAATTTGTATTGGTTGCTGAAATTTATATGTTTGCTGAAATCAACTTCTTTATACATGCTAGGCAATGGAGGGAAGTGGACAAAGTGATAAGGGTGGACATATTGCATGGACATCTTCAATGTCTACCTACATCTTGAATACCTCGAGGGTATTGTTGCTAGTGGGAACAAAACTTCCTTGGGGTTTAAGCAAGTCCACTTGAAGGCTTGTGCTAAAGCTTTAAATGATCACTTCAATATTAATTTGACTTCAGATCAGATTACTAATCACATTAGGACTTGGAAAAGGAAATATTCTAAGATAGCTGATCTGAGGAAGTTGAGTGCTGCTCTTTGGGATGATGACAATTTTATCATATCACTTGATCATAAACATTATGCAGACCACATCAATGTATGCCACAACCACACTTACACCATTTTATTGTTACCTATAGCTAAGTTATTATTGGTTGCTGAAATTTATAGTGGTTGCTAAAATTTGTATTAGTTGCTGGAATTTACAGTGGTTGCTGAAATTTGTATTGGTTGCTGAAATTTATAGTGATTGCTGAAACTTATAATGGTTGCTGAAATTTATAGTGGTTGCTGAAACTTGTAGTGGCTGCTGAAACTAGTTTTATTATTAAACCATGTTGTAGGATCACAAGGCTGATGCTGAATATCTAAACAAACCTATTCACAATTATGGCAAGATGCTTGTGATATTTGGCAATAGCTTGGCTACTGAAAAATATGCAAAAGGATCAGGTGATCCTCTAGCCATTGAATCTATTCCCATTGATGATGATGAAGAAGAAGAAATTGGTATTGGAAGTGCTGGTCGGATAAGCTGTCCGTGTTGCTACTCCCTTTGTCCCACTCAATAAGACATGATCAACTTAGCACGTTCTCTAGCTAATATTTGGCTTTAACTTTCTCATATCCTATAATATTTGTAGCAACAAAGTCATAATCATATAAAAGTAAATTTAAATATTAATCTAATAATATTATTTGCTGGCATGAAAATTTAATTATCATAAAATAACTATTGATAAAACATTTAAATAATTAAAATTTAAAATGCGTGCACACCTTATTAAGTGGGATGGAGGGTGTAGTTTACACATCAGTAAATCGCTACTTTGTAGGTGTGGACGTTGACGCACTTACATGTTGAATGATTTGTCACGGGTTTGAAGAATTATATGTTTTTTTAAATAATAGAATAGATAACATCCCGACATTTACTCAACAGAGCTACAGCCAATTATTATGTAGCAGCTCTCCCTCTCCATAATAATCCAGATTGCTAGACCACCAAATCATGATAAAAAGGAAGAAATTAACAAACAAAAATGGAGTAGATATATCAATCACTACTAGGAAAAGCATTATCGCAAGCGGCCGAAAAGGGTCTTCGCAGGCGGGGCGGCCGTCCGCCTGTAAGCCAATGACTGTGAAGATCGCCGATCTTCGTAGGTGGGGAGGCCGTCCGCCTGCGAAGATAATTTTCGCAGGCGGACGTTGGCTAGTCTGGTCCGCCTGCGAAAATAGGAATCGTCCGCTTGCAAAAAAAGAAAACTTCCGCCTGCGAAGATAGGTAGAAAATATTGCAATTTAAATATAATTTGGCCGTAAATTACTTTTAAATTATTTATTAGAAATTCTTGCAGGTACATATATTGGAATATTATCAAGCATTTGGTACTGAGAAATCTACTTATATTGCATAAATCAAAAGTGTTGCCAAAATATATATATTACAATATTGTTTTACATTGTCACTTCAAATAACGTCATCTAGTTACATTATGGCATAGCAGTGTTCCACTCCCGAAGATCCTTGAATTCGTCACTTGCCACTAGGGCACCCTCTGGGTCGAAGAAATCTCCTTTGACATGACAGCACTCATGGTGGATGAAGTGGCACAGATCACGCTGCACATTTGTGATACCTGTATTGTCAAAGCTTGTTCGACATTCTAATCTTGGCAACTACATGCATTGAAATTAATCAATATATTAGTATCATAAATATCAAGAGCTGTCTAGTACATAGTATAGAGACTTACATCCTCCGCGTTAGTCCTGTACCGTCCATTAACCCTAAGGAATTCGCACGCATAATACCCGCAAAGGACCGTTCCTCGCGGTTGCTTGTGACACTGCAGGACATATCATAGAAAAAAGTAGTTATAATTTGCAATTAGTGAAACTATTGGAATACATAAAGTGAGTGGAGTATTACCGGCCAATAGGTACGTACTAGCAGCTTCTCCCGTGTTCAGGTCTGTTCTCCACCCTTGAACTTGTAGTATTGGTATGCACTGTATGGATGTCATACCGTTTCAGAGTAAGGAGGATATTTATTTGTAATACATCCATATACGAATGCAAGAGTCATAATAACTTACTACTGTAAGATTGTTAGAAATTCTTTGTTTTGTGAACTGGATAAATTTTCTATTTTATCGGCAACGCTCTGCAGCTCCGGATTTTCAAACGATACTTTTCCCTCATCCGTGATCTTCGGAGTTCTAGCTCTTACCCAGTTCCTCGATCTCTGTGTCCACTCCTCCATTGGTACCGGTTGCCCCTTCTTCCTCATTTCCTCCTCCTCTTTTGTCCACTGTTCCACCTTTGGTGCGTAGCCCGCGGAGCCTAAGCGATGAGGAAATTTGTTCTTCTTGGCCAACTCTGAATACTTTTGGCTCCTTTTAATTTCTTCCGGGGAGTTCTTCAAGGTCAGAAAGTCGTCCCACTGATTGGGGGTTATGTTGGCATATGTCGAAAACGGTGTGCGTCCCGTCTTCACAAATTTCTTGTTCAAGGTGGTTTTCCAACCACGCCAAGAATTGGCCATTGTTTGCAGTGCACAATTTCTCACCGCTGCCTCTGATCCTTCCGGGAACTGGAAGATTTTCTTCAAAGTTTTCCATAGGACTTCCTTATCCCCATCCGTTACATGATCCCAGTCCTTGACCGTGATGGAGATCTTCTCCCTTACTATTATGCCACACTGTGAACTGAATTTCGCACGTGCCGTCTTAGGGGCGAGCGGCTCTCCTTTAGGCGAAACATGGGTAACAACATGGAACCCTTCATCCTTTCTATTTACGCTTCTCTCGCCCTTCCTTCTCTTCGCCTTTGCTGACCGTTCGCTTTTCTGTGTGCCGGTTGTGTTTGCCGGTACGTCCTCGTCTTTTGAAGGAACTTTTTTCTTCGGCTGCCGTTTTGATCGTCGTGGCGCCGTTTCCTACGAGAAGGTATGCATGAAAGTTTCGAATTAGCTCGGGCTAATAGCTATCACTGTGAGCATTTTACATATTAAGTTTACTTACCCCTTCTTTAGGGGGAATGTAGTCCTTGTCGCCTTCTTCACCGTCGCCATTTTTCCTTCTCTTCGGGCTTGGGCTTGGACAAGGATCGCTTGGCGACGAGTACTCCTCGTCTTCGTCACCTACGTCGCTGTCGGAACTACCATCCGGTGGGACCGTTGGTTCCGGAGCAACCACAACAGCAAGGGACTGCTCCTGTTCCCCTAAACCCTTCTCTTCAGTCCCTTTAGTACTATCGGCCATCGTTTCAAACCTCTAATATAAAAAAAAAAGTGTTATCGTCAACATTTTAAATTACTCAAATTAGTACAAACTAATTAGTACAAAAATAAACCGTGTATTAACAATATGTCGTATGAACAAATATAAATGCGAAGAGATTTCTAAATTTAACTAGCACTTACTATTATGCTAAATTAATTAGTACAAACAAATTTAAATAGCGAAAATAATGACTACTTACTATTATGCTAAATTAATTACTACAAACAAATTTGTACAAAATTTGATATGTTATTATCAAGTAGTGCACTAATTCATTTCCTTATTTCATCGACATGTTGACTAAAAATAATGGAAAAGGCAAACATATCCTCCACATTTTTTTAAAAAAATGGTTAACATACCCTCCAACATGTTATTTAAAAAATTTGACAAATTCACATATCCTGCAAAATTGAACATACCCTCCCAATTTCATTATCATGTCACCCACATTCCCAAATTCACATTCACAATCAACATATAACCCCTCATTCACATATCACCCACCCCTCACACCCACATGCACACACATATAAAAGGAAACACCCACATGCACGCACGTCCGTGTTGGACGAACGGCCGACGACGAGCTTCGGTCGTGGACAACGAAGGAAGGGCCGGCGACGAGGTTCGGCCGTGGACGACGAACGGCCTACGACGAGGTTCGGCCGTGGACGACGACCGGCCGAAGACGTCGTTCGCTGCCGAGTTTGCGGCCGAGGACGTATTCGCTCGTGGACGACGATCGGCCGATGAAGCCGTTCGGCCGCGAGCGGAGGGGTGGGCGACGGTGGTGGAGGGGCCGACGGCCGGCGCCGGTGGAAGGGCCGGCGACAGCGGTAGAGGGGCCGGCGGCGGCCGTGCGCGCGGTGGAGGGGCCGTCGGCGGTGGAGGAGCCGGTGGCGGAGGAGAGCGAGCTCGACGGTGGCGGTGGATGAGCCGGCGGCGGAGGATGAGCTCGACGGTGGCGGTGGCGGTGGATGAGCCGGCGACGGGGCTGCCTCGGTGGAGCGTGGTGGACGACGACGGTCGGCTGCGGCGGAGGACTACGGTCGGAGAGCGAAGGTCGCAGGCGGGGCGGCGGCGGAGGACGGCGGAGGCGTGCGGCGGTGAAAAATTTCGGCAGCCTGACGGCGCCAAATTTTTTAGGGTTCCCGCCTGGGCTTAGAAATTTTGGCGCCGCGGGCTTGCCCTTATATAGGGCAAAGATCTTTGCAGGCGGGCGGTCCGCCTGCGAAGATAATCTTCTCAAGCGGGCCGTCCGCCTGCGAAGATATTTTTTACTATCTTCGCAAGCGGGCCGTCCGCCTGCGAAGATATTTTTTACTATCTTCGCAAGCGGGCGGTCCGCCTGCGAAGATCTTTTCAACAAACTGGTAATTGCA